TATATGAAAAGCTTACGAAAGCTTACGACAGCTGCGAGAGTCACCATGTTATCACATGAGGAAAGTAAGATATTTCAGAGGGTATTAGATTAAGAAACATCGCTATCTACCTAAGAACGTCCTCCCGCTACAAATGTCCCTAAAAGAGTCAGACAGGTAAAAGGTACCGTCTACTCATAAAGCAAACGCCTTGTGGTATCATGCCTTCGATCATCCATCAATGTATCGTTATCCTAGCGTGTATATCGTCCACCAACATGTTACTTAGTTGTTGTCGTCATCGTCAGAGAAGAAGTTCAAGATGGCCTTAACCGCCATAGGGCCCAGCCCGTGGGGCGGGTAGCAAATGTAGCTTGGGTCGTCGACTGCACCCAACTTCTCACGGAACTCAGTCTTGTTGGTGAGCTTGAGTTCGGTCGCGATGGCGTGGTAGGCGCGGCTGAGCACCTTGACGCGAGTGCCCTTGACGTTGTGTCCTGGGCTGAACTTGGAGCTAGCACCGCCACCAAAGGTGACGCTGGTTGCGCCGCTAGCAGCGACTTGCTTGAGAGCATGTGTGACAATATACTCAATCGAACCACCGGGTGCGCCGGGGAAGTCGAGCGAGTACTTGACTTGCCAGCCGTGGTCAGGTGAAAGCTGCGCCATGGCGACAAAGGCAGCGATAGTGCCGTCGGGTGTATAGGCGATGTGGTATTGGCGATGCTCCTCGTCTTGCCATGGGTGAATGTTGGTCAAATGGACCTGCTTGCCCTTGCGGTTGTTCAGCCAATCCGCTACACGAGCATCGACCTTAGCCTTGACATCTGGTGGTGGTGGTGTGCCGAGGGCATAATCGCTAATCTTGACACCCTCCTTCTCCGCGTGGCGGATCTTGCGCTGCACGTCAGAGTCCTTGTCCGCTGGGTTGTGGACAGGGTCTACACGCTGCTCTCCAGTGACGGAGAATGTGCGCCAGTTGAACTTGGTAGCAAGCACCTCCTCGGTGGCGTGTCCTACAAGAAGCCACAGTGGCTTGAGGTTGCGCTCCTTCTTGATGTACTTGAGGTAACCAGCCATGGTCTTGAGGTATTGAGACTCGTGGCAAAGAGGATCACCGACAGTGATGGCGAACCCGTCCTGAGGTACGAAGCCGACAGCCGCACCGGTGTTCTCGTCGCGCCAGATCTCTGTGCGAGGCTCCAACCAGGAGGTGTTGGTGGCATCACCGTAGTTGGCGATGAGCTTCTCGATAGGCTGGAGGTCGATCTTGGCAACCGCACGATCCTGTCCTTCCCATGGTGGATGCATGGTGCTGGCCTCAGGATGACGCAGCTGCTTGATAACTGGCCGCTCTGGCAAACTCTTCGGGTCGCGAGGGAACATGGACGCATGGCGAATGTTCCCGAGGTTCATCATCAACATGAGAATACGCTCGAGACCGATACCACCACCACCGTGGGGCGGTGCTCCCCATTGGAAGCCCTGGATGTAGTCTTCCATCGAACCGGGATCGACCTTGAGCTTGCGCATCTTGTCCAGTAGCAAGGTGGAGTCGTGGATACGCTGGCCACCACTGAGAATCTCCTGTCCTCTGCAGAAGATATCGAAGGAGTTGGTGACGGTAGGGTCGTTCGGGTCGTTCATGGCGTAGAATGGGCGTGCGTTCGCGGGGAACTTGTCTAGAATGTAGTAGTCGGTTCCAAGCTTCTGCTTGATGACACGACCAAGCTGAACCTCATCCCTGGTACCCAGGTCTTCGTTCACGTCAAGCTCGTTGCCATCGTCATCCCTCCAGCCGGACTCGTTCAGCATGCGAACACCGTCGGCGAAGGGAATGATGGGTGTCTGGTCCAGCCAGACCAAATCCTCGTGAGGGAAGTGCTTCTTGATGACCTCAATCTCGGGACGGTACTGGTCGTAGATACCCTTGAAAATGGCCTTGAAAGTGCGGTCCAGCACACGGAGGACCTCGTGGTAGTGCTCGTCTATCTGCATCTCCAGATCCAGACCAGTGTACTCAGTCAAATGACGGTACGTGTTACTGTTCTCAGCACGGAAGACGGCACCGATTTCGTACACTTTGCCAAAGTCTGCAGAGATGGCCATCTGTTTGGCCAATTGGGGACTCTGAGCAAGGAAGGCGCCACGACCAAAGTAGTCGATCTTGAACACACTGGCACCCGACTCGGTAGCACCACCCTGAAGCTTTGGGGTGTGGATTTCGATGAAGCCTTCCGAATCTAGCTGGTTACGGAAGAGCCTGCAGATACCAGACTGGATGCGGAAGATACCCTGTGAAGCTGTTGTCCTCAGATCGATAACGCGGTTGTTCAAGCGTGTACGATCCGCAATCTTGACGCGGGTGTGTCCCTCCTTGTGGTCTGCATTCGCAAGCTCAGCGTCGACCTCGGCCTGTGAGACCTCGGCTTCGTTGACGTTGAAGGGCAGGTGGTCGGTGACGGCGGCCTCGACGTGGAGGGCGTGTACCGAAACCTCGACGTCGTGGATGGTTGCTCCAAGGACCTCGCCCTGCTTGGCCTTGGGCTCCTGAAGGATACCCTTGACCAGGACGATGGTCTCGGCGTCCAGGTGCTCAGCCCAGTACAACATGTACTTGGAGATATCCGCGTGCTCCAAGAGAACACCCTGGATGGTAGCGAGCTGCTGGCGGAACATCAGGAAGACGAACTTGGAGCTCATCTTCCTAAGGTGGTGGATGCGGGCGCGGAAGACGACCTCCTTGCCAACATCCTTTGCGGAGAAGTCCTGAATCCTGTGGCGGGGCTCATGCTTCCACTCGCCAGCGTAGGAGTTGGGGTCGATGACACCGTACTTGGAGCGCTGCTCGGGAGTCAGCTCAGCCAATGCCTGGTCTTCCATCTCTTTCCTCCTGCGCTCGAGCTCTTGCTCCTTCTCCATGTTCTGCTTGTGGCGCTCTTCCTGCTGGGCCTGCTTCTCGTGCTTGCGCAGCTGGCCGCGCGACATGGGCTCGCCCTCGCGGTTGAGGGGGGCATCTTCGTCGCTCGAGTCGTTGCCAATGTGCAGCTTCTCCTTGACAGCTCGCATGGGGCTGTGCGAGATGGAGCCGGAGCGGTTGGTCTTGTTGGTCTTGTCGGTGCCGGTGCGGCTCGGGCTCTCAGTGCGGCGGTGGAGGATGCCGCTGAGGGAGTTGCGGGGCTGGTCGATGCTGGTCCGGCTGTCGGTGGGCGAGGCAACGTCGGCGCGCTTGTGCTCGCCGCTTGCTCGAGAGCCGCCCAGGGTGACGGAAGAGCGCGGCGACGCGACGGGCGACTGTGCGCGGCCATTGACGGACGAGGGCGACTTGACGCCGCTCTTCTCGTCGTCCGAGGCCGAGGAGCCGTGGTGCGGCTTGAGCTTGTCAAGCGCTCTCTTGAGGGAACTCATGGCGGGGTGGTGCGAGAGCGTTGCCCGTGTGTGCGTGGTTAGACTACCTGAGCGCAATTGGGGGCAAGCAGACGCGGGGGAGTGCTGCTGCTGAGGGGGGATGGAAGGTGTTCCTGGGCGAGGGAAAAAGAATTGCTATGGATATGCTAGCAAGGCCGGGAGACGCGAGGTTTAGTATACTGTGGCTGGCAAGGGCGCCTGGCGTGTATGCCGATGCGAGGGTGAATGGGCTATGACGTGACCCCCCAGTTTTCGGTACAAGATGGCTGCGTTTCACTGACAAGCCCTTCCTAGCGCCGAGCTTGTGCACAACACCGACCGTGCGCAAGCGTGACGTAGATGCTAGGGGAGTCCTTCGCTCTAGATCGTGCCTGGCCGTATGAGAGAATCCGCGGGTGCCGGAGGGAGTAGGGCAGATTAGGAGCGGAAGGGCGGGCGTGATAATAATGAATGGACCCCTCCATCACCACAGCACCGCGACTACTGTCACAACATGCCTCTTCGACGTGAAGATATTGATATCAAAACTCTGCTATTCTGCCATGAACAGCCCGCATGCACAACCCTTTGTCTTCGCTGACACATGCCGCCCCTCTGTCCCAATCGGTAAAGCTGCTGTCTGCGCCTGTCTCGTTCCAGCAGACCCGGTGCTAGTACAGGCAATGACATGCGAAGCTTTTCGAGCCAAGATCTTCAACCCGGCCTGCAGTCCACTTCAGCCACGGGTCGCCTATGTCAGCGTCGACAGTAAGCCATTTGGCCATGCAGAGCCATCAGTCACCTCCCAACAAGCTTCGGCGCTCGCAACTGACGACCGCCGCATGTGAAGGATTAGTCGCGAGAGACGGCTTGGCGTATGCTTACTCGTATTTCGTTGCGGCGTGCCGGGTGAAACCGAGCCTAGTCTCTCCGAGCGCACATGGGAATCATCGACTTTGGCGAAAGCCATGGCATTCTGCCGGATGCGCATGAACAAGGCACAGCCAACTACCAACAACCAGTCGCGACCCTCATCTCTCTGCAACTCCAAATCTCCCTCAAAACCTGCTGCTCTGCCGCTGCGTCACAAGGCATGGCCAGCAGTTGCGAAAGCGAGATGAAGCCCAAAAATAACCGATAACATCGACGATCGTTGTGCCGCAAACCAGTTCTCGCCAGGCACGCTGCGCCGCTCAAGATCGTATTTCACCATGCAAATCACTCAAGGCGCCTGCCGATAACCGCCTTTCTTCCCCCCACCAAGATTTTTGTCGGCACATGGGCATTCAGGGAAAGTGGGCTTGACCTTGGACCCGTGCGCCACATTGCGGCTGGAATTATCATGGCTTGTCTCAGCTACACTGTTAGACCGCTTTGGAGCGGCAAGTCGTCCAACAACAGGATCTCGTGCCCCACAAACGAGATTTCGTCCCGCATATGACTTGCTGCTATGCTGTCATTGCTCCTGTTTGCTTGTCACTCTACTCAGTGAACACTCCACTTAAAGATACCGCAATCTCCACAACGCCACTCTTCCCCTGATGTATAGGATGGTAACTAAGCATGCAAACCTCTCTGTATCTGTCCGGTGTCCTCTCTTTCTCTCGCTTCTCGTCAACTCCTCTCCCAATCGTTCATCTCTCATCTGATGCGAGATGATTCTGCAAGTGGTATTGCGTCGCGTGTCATAACCGCCAATCATAAGCGAGCTGCTCACATGCACTGTATTGCCTCGTTGCTACCAACGCAAACAATCTGAAGTGCCTTCAAAGTATGCCATCGCCTCTGCCTCGTTCCTTTGCTTCGCGTACCGCCTGCGGTGTCTTCAGACGCGTCCACATTTTATCGCCCTTGTAGATGTAGATCCTCCAACTATCCTCCTTAATGGTAACGCCAGGTTCACCGTGCTTGGGGACCCCGCATTTAACTTCCGACCAGTCCCAGTCCATTAGCTCATCCATCGTAGAAACGGGACTTGACGTCTTAGTCTCTGCTGGCACGACGACACGTGGATTTGACTCGGACAGTTCTGCGATATCCCTAGTCTTGAGCACGTCGTAGATTGACTGCGAGATGGCAGATGCTTCGCGCGACAGCCGGGGTTGCAATTTGACCCATTCCACCCTGATGGCTTCTCTGATTGCTACCAAAGTCTCGACATCGCCGTTTTCGTAGGCAACGCGGGCGGAGTGAAACGGGAGCTCGAGGCCATCCAAGCGGCGATTGATCGAACTGTAAGTACATCGCACCGCATATGGCATTGCCCGATACATCAGTCGAAGAACTTCTTCGATAACGCCGTACGCAACCTTTCCCTGCTCGTTGTCCGTGGGTCCCGGGGCTGGCTTGGACTCTGTGATGGAAGAGAGCCACTCCTCTCGAAGTCGACCGTAAAGCTGATTGGTATGGAGGCTAGCGATGGCTGAGTGACGCTCGGTACCAAGTCTACCGCAACTTGTGTAATTTAGGGCCACCAATGTTGCTGTTTTGATGTTGCTCAGCGCTTCGAAAGGTCCTATAACCACAAACACCGCCGCGATAATGTCTTCCTCAGACCATCTGCAGTAGTTTACCAGAGTGGGCCTAACTTCCAGCCACTTCAGCGAAGTATTTCCTGATGTAAAGAAGTCGATAAATTTCCGCACGCTATCCCTCGCCTTATAGGCTTCGTATTCATCACAACTGATGCCCCTTCCATGCAGATTAAAATGAGCATCGGACCATCTCCGAAGATTGACGTGGACGGTAAGATGGCGGATGGATCTGGCTGACGGCGAAAATACCATAGAGAGGCTTCTGAACTTCGTACGCCGCCACCATAACTTATTTTGTAGCTGGATGGTGTCTTGCGATATGTACGCATGAAATTGAGTCTCTCCATACAACACAGAAGAAGCCTCTTGATTGACCTTATGATTAACTCGCAGAATAGAAGCGGCATGAACTTGGGATTGATAGTTGGGTTTAACGACCTCAGGAAGAACGTAGCGGTAAATCTTGAGGCGCAACTCAGTCGGAAGCTCCATGAAGTGGCATGGCGCGTGATTGTTCGTATCGGACATGGCTGGAGGCTGTGTGTGGGTGTCGGAAGCTGCGAGTGTCTTAAGGGTAGCGGTGGTGTACAACAGTTGTCGAATTAGTGAGTTGAGCTGAGGACTGTAGGTGTAGGTAAAGAAGTTAAATATTGCTGTGCTTTATATAATGCCCTTTCCCAACGTGGATTCATGCCACGTGCAAGGTACATGAACCATGGTTGCGCGACACCCAAAACAACGAGCTGGTGTAGTTACTCCAATGCGTCCGCTTGCGATTGATACTTTGGATGAGTCGATGTATACCTATGGTTCGCGTATCTCGAGTTAGTGGGACGCTGACGATGTGTTGAAGGACGACGGGATTAAAGCAAATCTAGAACTTTGCACCTTGGTCGCGAGGAGCGAGTAAACCGGTACCTCCCATTGCCTGAAAACGGCGACCTAGAAACGACTGTGTGACTGCACCAACTGTATATACAAATCGTCTGCTCCTCATCGAATCTCTAGCATGACGCTTTGGGAGTGCCACCCCATCCTCTACGACTTACCCAGCACCCAAACCTCCCCATTGTTCGATGTGTCACTCGTCATGAACAATCTCCCCTGCGAATCCCACGCCAAGCCCGCGGGCCTAAAGCACCCAGAGCTGAAACTCGGTCCATTACCCTGGCACTTCTCTACAGCCGGGTTGTAAAAGATGTCCTGGGCCGCTGTGGTACTAGTAAGAGGCTCAGCCGGAGTGTAGTTTCCGTCCGCACCAATCTTGAACTTCACAGCAACGAGCTTGAAACCGGTGACGGGTGTGCGGTTCCAACTACCGTGGTAGGTCACATACATGGTTGTGCTGTCGGCGTCGAATTTGCAGTCGATGGGTGCGGAGTGAGGGAACAGCGTAAGCTTGGGAGCTGTGGCTGTCTGGACGCAGGTATCGTCGTTCATGTTGGTGCTAGGCTGTTGGACAAACCAATCGCCTACTTTGAAGGCCTTGTCGGTGAAGTCGCTGGGCTGCCAGACGGTGAAACAGGACGGGTAGCCGTACCAGTTGTTGTTGGGCTTGGTCACGTCTCCCATGTAATGGATCTTCTCGCCTGGGTTGTTGAAGTGAATATCTTTTCCGTTGCGCTTGAAGTCGTCGCCGCTGTTCTCTACGCCCCAGAGCCTGTAGCATTGTTAGTATTATCACGCGCGCTCATCCAAGCGAGGCTTACATGTTGTTCTTGTCGAAACAGATTCCGACGTCGTTACGCTGACCGTAGCCAGCGTTGTATCCTCCGGACACGTAGTTGTAGCCTCCGCTTGGAATCTTTGACAGATCGAAGACCTTGATAATGGCACGCGCAGTCTTGGGGTCCGACGTGGCAGAGTCAATGTTGGCATTCGAACCATGGGAAACGACCAGCAGATTCGAATTCTGCGGTGCGAGGGCAAGAGTGCGGGTCAAATGAGAGCCGCCGTTATACATGCCAGTAATGATCGTTGTTCGAGTTCCCAGTGTCCCAGCAGCAGCATCATATGGCCAGGAGTAAGCCTGAGTCATGGAACTGGCGTAGAGCGTCTTTCCGTCAGGACTCATCGCAATGCCGTGGTTCAGGTTGTTCTGCGAGACCAGCATCTTGGTAGAGGTAACACAGCCATCTGTACCCATCTTATGGTACGAGATACCTTTACCAGATTGAACTACTAACATGTTTCCTACACCGTCGAACTGAATGCTACGAGGGGCAGTCAAGCCTCCCGCGACTTTTGTGGCCTTCCATCCGGCTGCGAGACTACCCTGGAATGTGGGACTACCGGCACCGGAGCACGAGGCTGGAATGGCAGCAGGCGCGGCTGGCTTTGACGTTGCAGACGGTACGACGCTTGTCACGACGGTGGTCGGGTCAGCGGAAGGACTTGCTATGGGTGCCGTCAGCAGGTTAGCATTGACCAAGGAATCAAAATTCTCGATGCGTGCAGCGTCCAGATTGTGGATCCATTTTCCCCAGGCCGCGTGGACGTTGAATGCAGAATCATTTCTGGCAGGGTCCTCGACCGAAGAGACGCCGTAGGCCCAGGCAAATTGTGTTGTACCGGTGCCATTCAATGCGTATCTTTCATCTTCGTTGTTTTGCCATCCAGTGCAGCCTTTGCACAGTGCGTTGACAGTCCAATGTGTAGCGTTTGTCTTTGTGCCTTTGAGGTAGCTGTGCTCGGCGCCATCGTATCCAAGCGGTAAAGCAATACCACTGTGGGATGTTAGAATCGTCATCGTCAACCTGGGTATGCATCATACAAAGCGAAGCGAGCAGATATCGTCCCGGATTGACCGTTAGGCCAAGCAACGCTCAATGGATTCCAGACCATATTGCCACCCCATGAGAAGCCGACCCATTGATTGGCAATTGGCGCCGTAATCCTGACGATGGCATCATACGGGTCTGTAACGTTCTTCGGAAGAGCAACACCAAACGTCATTCCTGTTTCAGGCTCCGTGTACGACGAGTAACTGATCTTCGTTTCTGCATCGTAGACAACAGTAGACTGTGCCTCACCTTCTTGAGCAAAAGCTTCGTTTTGTCAGTATCAACGGCTAAGGCGGACATTGAACTCACCATAACCAGCAAGTGCCGCAGCACTGCCAATGAGCTGGGTATAGCGCATAGTGGCGGGATCTGTGGATAGATGGGCGTAGCTATACGTTCTTGACTGTCACCCAGTAGGCCTTTCGCAACTCTTTATGCGGCCAACTCCAACATTTATCGTGGCCACAGAGCGAGCCACGAGCCATGCGGGGACATGATTCGATCTCGTCAATCTGTAATTTGCTTTCATTCCTCTGGTATGTCTTAGATGAAAATGTTGGAGAAAGGCTTTGGGAGGTCATATCGAACCACCAATCACTGTACTCGGGATTACGATATGTGACGGACTGCGTACACCAGGATGATCGCTTTGTAGCTTCTGCCTCGCGGATAGGTTTCAGCCTGAGTACACTGATGGAAATGGCAGGTTGATAGTCAGAGTCAGGTGTTGACACGGTACGATTGGTCAATGAAACTTGATTCTATCAATTTTGATGAGCTGGAACCGCATTGTGACCCGGAACAATACTCGCGATATCCAGTACTCGCTCACGCAGTGTTACTGAATGACGCTAAGACTTGCAAGACCCTGGATAAGCGACGGCAGTTGGCACGCGACGCAGAGCCGGGATATAGATTGGTGGGGAGGTTCTATTGTTGCCTCGTCGGTATTGTGTGGATGGTGTTGCATTCTTCCAAATGGCCCGGGATCATTAGCGAACTCAAACGTGTGGGGAACCTATTAGAACGTTGAGATATCTAGACGTTGAGATAATCAGCTACCCAGACTTAGTATCCAGCTTGTGGATCTACACGTCGATTAGTAACTCGAGGGGGAGTATTCGCGCAGTAGGATCCGTTTTCTCATCCAGTCAAGCTTCGTATTTCAACATCGTAAGTTATGGTACACTTTTCATCGCACGACGCGTTGCCTGCCTTTCGTATCATCTTTCTGGCAGTGCTTATACACGAGCCTTGTTCATGTAAGCGTTTCCAAAAGTCCACAGGCCAAAGGTCGCGAGAATGCTCAAACCGATAGGCAGCGGCTTGCCAGACTTCATCGCTCGAGGAATGGAGCTGCCAGCGAGGATAACGGAAGCAAGGAGAGCCAACTCAACACCGTACGCTGCGCGGCTGTTGACACGGTAGCCACCGAGCATGTACTATTGTTTGTTAGACGCGCGCAAGGTGGTGATGCATGTGATGTGAGGTCATACCAGAAGTCCGACAGTGCAACCGGCGACGACCGATGGGATAGATCCAGTCCTCACGTAGCCGGTGATACCGCCACCAGCAGTGAGAGCACCCAGAATGAGAGCGATGTTTCCGAGAGAGCCCTGAACCTCCAATTAGCATCCACTCTACACCATGACTCGCGCGTGGCAGCAAATGGTGATGACGTACCATTGTCGCGCTGTGTTCTGTTATCTTATCGTGTGGTTCGTGAAATGAAATTCGGGCAGTCGCGTGAATACGTGAGGTCTGGAAGAAATAACTGAGGATGTAGAAGTTTCTCGTAGAATGCTGAGAGAGAAGGAAGGCTGGGCCAAGTCCATGCCATGATTTGCGGGGATCCAAACGGACACCCGAAGGACACCGAACCGCCGACGCGGTCGGTCGTCGTACCCCAGAGCTCGGACCATGTACGAACATCTGGCCTCAAGC